ATACTGGAAAAAAGTAAAAAGCTTTTTACTCTTGAGAAAGCAACGTATCTGAACACGCTGACTTGAAAGTTTCACCGCATCACTGCTGATAACAAAATTATTGGTACAGGCAATACACAAACCAAACGTAACAATACACGTGTCACTCTTCACTGTACTCCCACGTCTCTTCACAATTATGTACACAGCACTTGTAGATCTCAGCAAAATTTTAAATGATTGTTTTCACTGCATGCATATACATATACTAATAGTACTTCTAGTTGTTGCTACGAGAGCAAATCTTGAATTAATAAGTATCCAAATAAACCTGGGCGTAGATCGTATTCGTATGTAATAGTAGGAATGGTGTCAATGCACAAATGTAGATTGTCAGTGTTGGATAATGTTTCCTAAGTATGGGTGTCAGTCAATTATATGTTGTATGTTTGTATATAGATAGGAATGAATGTTTTCATAATTCTACCCTCCCTGAAATCAACATATGAAGTGTTATTCATTGGTTCATTTGAAGAAGCTTCATACATTCATTGCGTCTTCATACATTACGCGAATATTTAATAATGCATCAGAAAAGTAGTCGATGAATTTTCACAGCATCGATGTTTCTTTGTTGAACAAAATCAAAAAGAACTGACACGTGAGGCATAATTTTACTGCAGAAAGAAAGCCAAAATACAAAATCTGTATCTTTCAAAGTACAGTAAAATTAATACATTTTTGGCAAATTTTGAAAACTGCATCCAGAATATCGTTTTGAATTGTCTTTGAATTTTCTTTAAACTAATTTACATTTTCCAAATCATTTTTTAAAATGTTATCAAGAGTCGATCTGATACACTTGAAGATGCCTAGGTTATTCGATTCTTCACATTCGTTATGACCACGCAATGCTAATGCAAACACACCGCAAATTTTTAATGCATCAACTATGCTACTTAAAATGTACTTATTGGAATCTACAAGTCCATTATGTTTACGTATAGAAATCCTATATGCATCATCCAATTGCTGATTAATACTAATTGTCCCCAGAACCTGTAAGTTCATTTCATAGTTTAGGTGGGTTGTCGTGGGAGCATGCTATTTACAGTTTAATTATTCCCAGCAAATGCTTGATATCTTTAATGCCACTCTTAGTCCATGTTTCGTCGTCTCTGAACAGACGACAAGGAAAAAAATCTATCTTGTCATCCGCAAATCCACTCCCATTTCTCGTACGCTGATCAATTAAATTTTATACTATACGACTTATTTTAACATTGAACACTTGATTGATGCATAAGTCGGGTTTAAATGGGCCGCAAGGGCCATTCACAATGCAAAAGTAAACATAAGCATAATGCATAGACGTAAACATTAACATAAGTGATAGACTGAAGTATTCACAACGTCTAACATAAACGTAAGCAGAAGAAGAGTTTCTTTTGGCTGTGAGGCATTCTAAGTTACTGTTGGTTGGATGTGAGAATCGATTTCGAGGTGTTGACTGTGTGCATGGCCCATATGGCGTTAAGTCGTCTATTGACTTCGCTCCTCTTTCGATTCTCGATTTTGAGTTAACATACTGTGAGTGGTTCATTTCTTATGTCTTACTTAAGCATAAGCACAGAAGCTTGACGCTTGCAAGCTTTTAAGTTAACATCTTACTTGTTATGCTTATGCGAACGCATTATGAATGAGTCCGCTTATGGACGTAGTCCTAACTTTTATGTTAACGCCAAGCGTATGTTTGTTTGCTTTGTGAATGGGCCGTCATTCTTTTGCTAAAGTTCTGTCTTCCTAATTTAAATTTCTGTTTTGTATACACCTTACTGCATTCATGTTGTTTGGCATGATTTTCACAATTACACTTTACAAACAAACTGGATTACTACGACGCAGAAGTACTTGACAAAAAGAAAGTATTTTGACACATCTCTCGGGGCCTTTACGAATGGACACAGCCGCGCTTGTCTACGGCAGAAGGGGCGGCGCGGACACAGAATTTGTGACGTGAGTGGCATATGCTTACACCATCACCTCTCAAATCCCGCCGCCGTTCGAAGAGGACAGAACCCCGATAAACGAGGCAGCCGGCACGGGCTTCTCGTGAACAAAGCCCTATTGCCCGATCTCATACAGATGCCTTCACTGAATCTCGTTCATTTCCTCAGAGCAAAAATAAAAATAGCGCGTTCATATTCAGGTTGCAATAGTTCATATAGCAATATAAAGAATTTAAAAACACTATTAAGTACTTGGGGGGCACATGACCACGTGACCTTACGACAGAGCGGCCTCGGCAAGTAGGTAAATAACACTTCGATTTATAGGCCAGAGTTTACTTAATCCCATACATTTTAGTTTAAAAGTTACAACCTAGCGCTGAGTTATTTACATGTCTACAACAAAATAGCGTGCGTCTTAAAACAAAAATGTCTGCCATTTGTGAACCACGTATATTACATTTTAAAAACTGTTTTGAACAACTAAAACTTAAGGGAATTTATATACAAAGTATTTATTCTGAGATGGGGAGGCGACTAATCTATTTAATTGTGGACCACTTAATGGAATGACACAATTACAAAGGCAAGAAGTTCGTTTTTTTTATCGCTGCTCAACATTTCTTGCCCTAGGTATTTCTTCAAACGTTTCCTATACGTGTTTCTTTCAACACGATACTCCACCCATAGATAAGAGAAGTGGAATTAGTGTTTGAAAAGACAGGATGTATTTGTCACCCAGGAAGAGGGATTTTCCCGCCGCACCCACGAACAAGAGGGTAGATAGATCAAGTCCCCTCCTTATTTGGGGTATTTCCGCTGTAATTCGATCGTATCTATAATTGGTAAAATTTCCTGTGAATCCGACACGATGAGTGTTGCGATTAAGGATTGATCAAGTGCCAGGAATCACTTGAAGAGCAATGGAATTTATCGATAAAGAACGGAAGAAAAGATACAGATAATCACTGGTGTGTAAAAATTTCTGAAACAACACTATAAGTATAGAAATATTCTTTGTTTCAAATCTTCTCAATGGACCTCTCTCGTCTAATTTATTTAGTTATTTTAATTTTTTGGGGGTACTTTACACAAAGCCCCTGATATATTTTCAAACTTTTTAAAAATATGGCGCCGTCGATTTTGATTAAATTTTGTTGTTGGATAATATGAAGAACGTTGAAGAGAATGGTGCAGGTCTCATGATCGTTAAAAACACCGATGTTTCGAAAATTGCAAAAGGTCAAACTTGTTTTCGGTGTGTTCCTTCAACTAAAATACTAAAGATAGATATATTTCTCTCAACAAAATCTGTTCCTTAAAGATCGATTTTGAAATATGGTCATTTACAGCTTTTCGAATATTTGAGTATTTTTCGTATAATTTTGAGTAAAACAGGGAATTTTGAATTTTGTTTAAACAGTTTATCTCAAAAATGGCTCCATCGTTTTTAATGATACGCGCAGGTGTCATCTTGGATGAAAACCCTGATTTTTCGAAAATAAAAAAAAAATTCAATTCCTACAACTACAATTACGAAGATACATTTTTTCTGAATGAAATGTATTCATCAAAAAAAGATCTTCAAAAAAGGTCAGGTTTAACTTTTCAAAATCATGAGTATTTTTGGGGAAATTTTGTGTCAAACAAAATTCGTGGCCATTTGTATATTATTTAAATCATTGTTTCTTAAAAACCGCTGTACATTTTTTAATTAAATTACGACCTTAGCTAGCATGAAGGACGCTTAAGAGAATGATGCAGGTCTCATGTTCGTTGAATTGCCTGATTTTGCGAAAATAAAAATAATAAAAAAAGTTAGGCGACTTTCTAGAACTACAATTGTGAAGATTTTTTTCTTCATAAAATGTGTTTCTAAAAAACCGATCTTGATATAATATCATGTTGAATATTTTGAAAATATGAGAATTTTTTGTATAAATTCGTCACAAACATAGTAGCCTGCTCCCAATTGATCGAGCTTCGTCTATGTAATGGAGGTAATTTCAGCAGGATGCTTCGTAAGGTAGAATTTCAATATTATATCATATTTTTTTATTTATTTCTTACAGTCGAGCTTTTGTTACATGTTTACAAATTAATATTTTATAATTTATTTAAAACCTATTTTGAATTGCGGTCTTTAATTGGGTTAAATTTGAAAAACGAATAGTTGATTTCATTTTGAATAATATGATATGGGAATGAAGAGTAATGCGCGTAAAAACCTAGTAGTTTAGTTTCTCCCTGCCTGTCTCCGTCTCGCTGCCCCTGACTCTCCATTTCTCCGTCTCTCTGACCTTCTTGGCTTTGCCCTGCGTCAACGCTCAGCAACAATCAAGTCGCAGGTGAAGCGCAGGTTGTATGAAAATTGAATTAAAATAAAGCGCAATGTTGTTCTGCAGAGCCATCCAGCAGAGTTACAACAAAATTAACAACACGTATACCGTTAGGACACGTCCGAACAACATTTTCTTTAGAACAGCTGCAAATGTTTTAATGAAAATTGGCATATATGGTCATATTTTACTCGTCTACAATATTCTTACTGCTGACTAAAGTAAATTAAATGTCAGTTCTACCATTAGAGTAGTGAACAGAATGGTTTTAGGTGCCGATAGCTGGGAAGAGGTGGAGTAAACAGGAAAGCTAGCCTAAAGAGTCCGAGAAAGTGTATGCAATTCTGTAAGCACGACTATTTTTTAATTATTTATTAACTTCACAAATTTATAATCTGTTGTTTATTTATTGTGTTATTACTTTGCGCCATTTTCACATTATTATTAATTCTTATAACTTTAGCCTCCGATGAAAATCCTCCCCCCCCATAGTAGAGGGTTTTCCACAGTAATGGTCTTGACGTTCATAGACGATGCGTGTCAAATTTGGTATTATTTCACTGCCATTCGTGGAACTTTAGGTGATTTGGGTGTAAATATGATGAGATAAAGAGAGATAAGATATAATACTTCCGTACAAATACATGGCCCAGCAGTTGCAGCCGTCCACTCACCGCTCAGACTCGAGGAAGAAAGCAGTCACCAGTCACGAGAATGGTTTCATGTGAGTACAAACAGTTTTACTAAGAATGACCACAACAATTCTTCAGGTTTCTTCTTGAATTCATCTACTTGCATTACATTAGTTATATATTAAGCCATGTATCTTTGACGGCACGCTAATATTTTGCTAATAAGTAAATTTTTGCTGAGAGCTTACACCTTCTTCTAAGTGAACGACTTCAAACGCATCTCCAAAACTTATATTCGGCAAAATGTAAAAAGTACGATAATGTTTCGTTACAGTAAAAAACTACAAACGTTTATAAACAGAAATGGGAATAGTTTCGTCATTTATTTGTAGGTTTTATTTTATTAGTATTTAGTGTTACAATAATAACTAGTAGTACCTCAAATTGCGCAAACATTTGCAGTATCTTAATGGTTATGTAATACCATTTTAATTACTATATGTTAAATAATACTATAATACTACGTTATGGCATATGTAAGTGAATTAATAATTACAAATATTCAACTTTTTCCGAGCCAGTTCCACAACTCTATTAATTTACTATTTTCTCTTCTTTTTTCGTACACGTAGTTAAGAGGGTTATTTAACCTTCAAATTAAAATGTGGTATTTTTTCTGATAAAACTGAGTTTTCCAATATAAATATTTCAGATACAGGTAAATGTGCTTGGTGGATACGTGCTGTAAAAAAGTGTTCGGCAATTTTTGTAAGGTGATTTAATTTTGAAGAATTTGTTCACTACTGAGAGTGATGTTAGTACACACAGCTTTTAAAGCTAAATAACTGTTTTGCATTGAAAACGAATGGTGTCAAATGTCATTAAAATACATACTTTCCATTTTGTATTAAGCTCATTACAGGTCACATATACGTAAAAAAAGTTATTTTTAGTTTTATTATTTAGCATCATATTACAGTTGTGTTATATTGTATTATTATTATTATTATTATTATTATTATTATTATTATTAAAGTTAAATTATCATGTTCACAAAATGCACTAATAGACTGCGAATGCGTTGCAGGGCAGCGCCAAACACGCGGGGGCGTGCCCCACAACGCGCTGTGGGCGGGGCTGGACGCCGACGGCTCCAACATCTACGTGGGGCGCGCGATGCACGAGCGAGACCTGCTGCCGGGGAAGGTGGTGCCCAACAAGGGCGGACTCTTCGTGGCGTGGGGCGGCGCCGAGCACTCCAAGCACGACTATGAGGTATGGCCACTGCTCTTACGCAGTAGAGAGAAAGTTATGTAATGCGGCGCGAAAGAACGGCGAATTTTCAACAGAAAAAACTCTTATTACAGGGCCCTTGTAAAGAAAAAGTGGATAAATTCCCTTCTTAAATTTTAAAACAAAACCTCCTAATCTACGACCACGTTCGCCGTAATTTGCTAGGTCAGATCTAATATTTATCGTGGCCTCGATACCGAAAAATCACAGGACTGGAAAACTTATTAAAAAATCCTTCGTACGCCTTCCTTCGGAGGGGAAGTAAAGCCGGCTTGTCCCATGTATAGTAGATTTACTTGCTATGTAAAAGATCACTCAAGCCTAAATAGACGCCTCTGAGCTATTCACAAATCGCCTGTTTCTCGCCCAAGGAAATACCTCCTCTTCTCTTTCTAGTAGATGAAAGGAGACGTAGTGAAATTTGCGTGGTCAGACGGAAAGAGCCGGGCCTGATGGCCCGAGTCTCGCCACGTAAAAAAGGCACAATTGCAATTCAATTCAATTCAACGTCTCTGCCCGTCCGTGATGTCTATCTGTGAAGAACGTTAGCGGCTAAACCGTTCAGCCGATTTTCTTCAAAATGGATATTCCCCAATCGCTGACTGATATCACGGATCTTTCAATTTGAAACCGATATTTTAATTTTGGAGAGTACTTTACATGAAGCCCGTAAAACATTTTCAAACAGATAGTTCCAATGCTTTTATTTAATTGTGTTGTTGGATACTTTAAAGGACGTTTAAGAGAATGACGCAATCCTCATTTTCGTTGAAAATCCTGTTTTTTGAAAAACATTGCAAAAGTTCAAAATTTTCTCGGCGTCTTCCTGCAAATGAAATATTAAAGATAGAGATTTTTCCCTTAATGAAATCTGTTCATTAGAAATAGATTTTGAAATAAGGTCATGTACAATTTTTCGAAAATTTGAGTACTTTTTGCGTAATATAGCCAATTTTTAAATTTGTTTAAACACTTTTTTCTCAAAAAACCCATGCCAACAATTTTGAAAAACGTTTGACGTCGGATAGAGTATAAGGCGCTTAAGATAATGGTGCAGATCTCATGTTTCTTTGAAAATTATGATTTTTGAACATTGGAAAAATTCAAATTGTTTCCTGCGCTTTGTGAACATAATTTAAAAAGTGTTCGGAGTCTATTGTTATTCCTATAAAAGGAAGTAGATTGACGGAAGGTAATTTTACAAAAAGGAAACTTTAAAAAGACGAAAGGGACAAAATTTAATATCCGGGCGAAAATTCTAAACGTTCTCTACGATAACAATGTTGAATTACAAAGCGATTGCTCACCGTGTGTAAATATATCTACCCCAGGACGCACCTCATTAATCAGCGCCTTTTCAGATAGTTTCCTTTCGCAAAACTGATAAGAGTGACGAACGGATACAGAGATGATTGCAACACCGATATCTCCGTGTGTTGAGAAAATGCCAATTCTAAGATGCCTTATTGCACACTCTTTCACATTCAGTAAACATTTTCACTTTCAATTCCTCAAAGCTATGATGCTATTGGAATTAAAGGCTTTTATTTAGAAAACGTTATAGGCTTTTAGAAATGTTAAATTAATTTTAGTTGTTTTCCTACTTATTTTCTTCGCGATAAAACAAAATAACACATCTTAATATTAAAGTAAGGGGTTGCATATGGGGGTATGGGTTTTTTCTACGAAATCACACTCTTCTTCCTTTAGTTCCTTTCGGAGCATAGGGCCTCGGCCAAGGATCTCCATCTTACTCGGTTTTCTGCTATAGGGACAGTGGAGGTTTCAGAGGGGGGGGGCATGTCCCCTTTCGAAAGGCTCAAGGTTTTCATTTGTTACCGTCAATTATTCCAAAAACTCTTTTAATTGTTTATTTATTTTAACACTATGTAATTATTTAAATATAATAGCGTCATGATCAAAGCTCCTATAGAATTTTAAAAAAGTATGATTACAATCATTACAGTTACATGTCTCGGGATCTCTCCTTCCACTGCCCTCCGTCGACCTTGGCTCCTATTCCCAAAACAGTGCTTTCTCTCAAAGGAATTTCGAGTGTCCTACTCGTTTCGTGCGTCGAACTAGTTTCATTTTCTGCGTTTTACATGCATTGCTACTGATGTTTCATCAGCTTTCTTCATTCTTTCTTCAACATTTCATTTGTTATTTCTTGTAGCCACCTAATGTTTAGGACTCTTCGTAAACGTCTGTTTATGAATACTTGTTATTTTCCCCGTTATTTCCCAAGTTTCTGATCCGTATAAAAGCACAGATTTTACATTTGAATTGAAAATGCGTAGTTTTGGTTTTAAGGCAATACTCCTGTTTTTTTCAGATTTCTCTTAATTGTATAAAACGAGCATTTGCTTTGTTTAGATTTAGATTTATTCAGTAAATATTCAGTTAAGATTATCTGCGCACGTTTTCTTGAGTTCCAGAATCCCTTCCCGTCATTTTAACTATGAACAGTTGAAAGACGAGTAAAAGTTTAACGTAAATAAAAATAAATTTAAAAAAATAAATTTTAAAAATCGCAAGATTAGCAATATTTGAAAAATAATCATTTCCGTTTCCGAGTTATAAAAAACTTATTTACATTGTAAGTATGATTTTTCTGCATTGCTTTCAAAATAGTAACTCGCTCTTACCTCTACTCTTACCATTACAAGCAAAAGGAGAGTTAAACAAAACGTGCGCATAGTGAAGCTACATTTATTCGTTGATTCTTTGACTAAAGTCTTCATCTGCGCCTCCATCATCAGTTATCATTCTCTCCAGATATTGAAACTTGTTAACATGTACTTATTCCTGGTTAATTTAAAGATGTCTTGGGCATTTGCGTTTATTCTTAAAGATTTTGTTTTACTACAAGTAAATAGCAGCCCCACATTCTTTGCTCTCTCTCAAACACATCATTAAGCATAAAATTCATACATTAAGCATAAAACACATCATTATTCATAAACTTTTGAGAGAGACGACATACGTCATCGTACTCCAGGTCTTCCAGAGTTCCCGCCAAACCCCAATTAATATCTCTTCATTTCTTTGTTGTTACTCTTTCCATCACATTATCCAATACTGCAATAAATAGGAGAGGCGACAGGACGCAGCCCTGTTTTACTTCTATTCTGTTTGATATTTTCGCTCGTGCATTACGAAACATCCAAAATCATCGTATAAATGTTTTATATGTTGAATTAAAACTTTAGGTATCTTATGTTCCCTTAATACAGTTCAGATACTATTTCGATTTAGCGAATCAAAAGCCTTCTGAAAATGAAGAAAGACGGCATATATCCGACTGTTCCTTTCTACACTCAGTTCAATAATTATCCTTATGATGTTAATGTGGTCAATACATGATTTCTCTGGACGGAACCCAGATTGCTCTCGGCGTATGAAATCTCACTTTACTAATTCCAACGACTAATTGACGACACGAATAGCACTATTAGAGATGCGAATATTATCTTTCTGTGTGGAAAGTATTAGTGAAGTTGTGGTTCTTGATTCAAACAAATTTTCGAGAGATGTTGATTGTCGCAGACGTGTAACACTATGATGACCATTAAGTGATTGTTCGTCGGTCATCGAGTTCTTACGTTTGTTCAAACGCAATCACTGCTCTCAAACATAAAACTGTACTATTAACAAATTATTCAAAAGTACAAGTTATATTTAGTTTTAAAATTGATTTAAAATTAATATTTGTTATTTTATTAACGTAAATTTTTATATATTTACATATTTATTAGGTACTCTTATAATTTTCATCACATATTTATATACACACTCGTAGTTTGTCGCTTCATACTACAGTTTTTCCGGAATCTACTAATCACAGCGTAGGAGCCTAAAGGAACCTAGAACCTCATGTGTAAGGTGTGACGACAAAACGAGTTTGCATACTTCAAGGGGGCTAGTCCAACTCCTGTGAAGTGTCCTAAACCCTACCCCAATCGTAATTGCTTCCCAATTCTGGCCGCTGAGTAGTGACGCAAGGGCGCATAGCTCTTGATAACTGACTGCGACGAGACGTGACGGATATGAAATATTGACATATTAACGGAGGATTACTCAGAAAGCGCAAAGCGTTCAACGTCCCCGGGGGCTTGGAGACGCGTTGCGTCAATTACAAACGCAACAAATTAACAACAAAAAAATTCAGTTTTGATGACGCCCGGTCCACCGGGGATCGTAACAATATGCTGTTCTGCGTTTGTCGGCGCTCGCAACAACTTCGTGCCAACTAATTCTATTCAATTAGAGACTAAACTCAGTATCAAACGGAAAACAATGTTCATTTTAACACTTATGTAATGTATTAGTTGCTATCGTTATGGATAATTCTGAAATACTAAGTATGCCTGTAACAATACTCTTCGCCTTCTGCGCCAATGACACCCATCAGGATCAGGTTATTCATCCAGTTTCCTCAATCCATTGAGCAAATGCTGGGATGGCCCTTTGTTTTAATTCTGAACATAAATGTAGCTTCACTAAGCGCACGTTTTGTTGAGCTCTCCTCTTGCTTTGTGGTAGGAGTAAAGCCAGGTGTGTGGTCGGCAGTGCAAAAAAAATCAAATTGTATTCAATTTACCAACGCACAAACGTTTTTTACGACTCGGGAGCGAAAATTTCTACAAATATTACTAACCTCGCTTTGTTCATTCATTCATCTATGATGTATACTAAAAGGATGGGGAGATTCTGAACTTTAATAAAACATGCATATATTGTTTCTCTTCCAGAGGTCACAGTTTTTACTGCATTTTAGCTAAAAGGAACTCAATGAAGTGAAATCATGATGCAAAGATATGGGTGAGCTGCTGCGCAGCATATCAGGTATCAGCCAATGAGCTTCAGGCACCAGTTTGCTACACAATATTACCGGGAATTTTAAATGCAGACTGATACCAAAAGTATCATCTTGTTACAAGACATTAAAGCATATATATGAAGCATTCTTTTAAAAAAATATGCGTCTTCCATTTCAATAACACTTTCACCATGTTATTTATGGCTGGTCGTTGAAAATGGTCACTTTATGCCACTTTCAAAACGCTTTTCAACACTTCTCGCTCACCGTACAGCACGGCGGCCTGCGTCTGGCCAGGTTTTTCAAACGAAGTGTCAAAATTGTTGTCATGTGGTCCGCGACGTATCTGGTGTTGCGCAGAACGAGCAAAGAACCGGTGCGCCCGAGTAGCTCACCCCTGTCTTTTGCATCGCGAGTGCGACGCAAGCAGGCGCGGCGCGGCGCGGAGTGCGGGCGGGCGGGAAACTAATGGCGGCGCGTGCGCAGGTGCTGTGCAACTGGCAGTCCGTGGCGTGGCAGCAGAGTTCGGGCGGGCACGTGCCGCCCAGGGCCATCGTGGGCGGCCACACCGCCAACGGCGAGCGCCTCTACATCGGACGCGTCTTGCACAACGGCGCGCTCACGCCCGGAAAGGTAAGGATAACATCCCCCCCCCCCATCCACCAACATATTCCTCGTCAAATGGGGCTCCGGTCTCAAACATCACAGAAACTGATCACAAAAACCCTGAACACGGGTGACATGGATATGGGGCGACGGCACGCTCACACCCGGGAAGTTAAGGATAACATTCCCCCTCCCACCCACCAACACATTTCTCGTCAAATAAGGCTCCGGTCTTAAACATCATAGTAACTGATCACAAAAAGCGTGAACACAGGTGACATGGATATGGGGCGACGGCGCGCTCACGACCGGAAAGGTAAGGTAGACACCACCCTACACACATGCACCAACACATTTCTCGTCAAATGGAGCTCCTGTCTCAAACATCACAGAAACTGATCACAAAAAAACCTGAACACGGGTGACATTAATAAGGAGCTTCGTGCCGGGATCTTGCACACAAAAATACAATTAATACAAACACTAGGGAGACTTAAGGCAAGACGTAACAAGAATATAGAGTTTTCATGAGAATCAATTCTTAGGTTTTTATTAAGAAATGTATAAACCTATGTATGCACAGTAAGAGTAATTTTTAACTATTGGAAAATTATAATAAATTTAAATACAATACTTTTTTGGAAATTTTGTTACAGACAACCCGCCACACATTGATGTAAAAAAATGTAAAGGGTTGCTTAATAATCTCACTAAAATTAATATTTTTTTCTGTATTGATTAAAACGTGTTTTCATATTTCACGAGAACTCTGTAAATGTTAGTTCTACTGAAATTGCTGGGAAAAGAGATTATTCCAACCCATTTCTACGTTAAACCTATATGCAAAAAACACAATCCGAATCAGGAAGTTCATTTGAAATGGATTTAAACATGAGTTAAGAAAGCAAATTCTACAGAAACAGCTACATTCTTCTCTTAACGTTTTGATTACAAAAACAAACAAACAAACAAACAAACAAAACAATATTCTAAAGATAGTGAGCAAATTCCGTACACGTCACTCCTGAGGGCTTCTCTTTATTAATCTAGAAATCCATTCATTGCTTTGCCTATTCATTTACAAATCGTGGTTCTTGACAAAATGTGCTTCACAGAAGCATGCCAAAGCAAAGGGGACGTCAAGGACGGGCCTCATAGCATACTACTTACGTTGTATAGAGGAAGTATTGTAATATTGCGCCATTAACATGCTGAAAACCACGTATTGCGTGTCCTTGATACAAAAAATTAGCGGTCGGCAAAATGCCAGTCCGTGGTGAACGCTCCCGCCTTAATGGTTCAAACAATTCCCCCCAAAATTGATATTTCCCCATCGATCTGGCCGAACTCCTGGCCCTGGACCCAGCGATCATGAAACGCATATTCTAATTTGTGGGGGTAATTTAAATGAATACTTATTAATCCCTATATAACATTTTCAAATTTTTGTCAATAATGCAACCAACTTTTTGATCACTTTTTTTTTCTTCGAATAGAGGAAACTTTCATTATTCAATCTCTATCATCAACACTAGTTTTGCAATTAACATGCCAAAACTACGATGCTGATGATAGAAATTTTTTTTAATAAAATATGTTCTATACAATTAGATATTTAAGAAAGGCCGTACAATTTTTTGAAGAAATCAATAGTTTTCGCGTAATTTTGGCTGGAAGTAAAGATTTTTTTAAATTCTGAATTATAATTGCAAAAACATTGCGAAACTACATTATTGATAATAGAGAATATTGTATTTAATGAGATCTATTTTTCGAACTTAGATTTTTAAATTACATTTTGTACATTTAAAAAAAAATTGAAAATCAAGGGTAGTTTCACATAATTTTTGCAAATGTTCGCGAGATATCTTATTGCAATACGACAATGACAACACCAAGACACGGCAGTTTGATATTCTCAGAATTACTTTTAACTGTTGGGCGTTGTCTCCGGCCGTATGGAACGGTTTGGAGTTGTGGAATGTGTTGATGTATGTAGCCGTAAAATAATTAATTTTCAATCCTCATAAGCTATGATAGATAATTGATAATTTACAAGTGATAGCCGAGATGTGTTAATTGGGGCAGAAATTGCTGCATTTCCTACCAGCATTATTACGTAACCGTTGCTAATAAAAGGAAATATTGCATACTACTAGTGTCTTTCTTTGTTTACATAAGACGTAATTGTTTCATCGTTTACGACTTTTATTGTAACAACTTTTTTTGTGCTGATAGTTTCATCTTTCAACGTTTATCAAATGCTTACAAAATCAGTGGTGGTAAAGCAGGACGTACTCTCATTCGTATTTTCACGCAAAATTAAGTAAAAAGTACTCAAATTTTCGAAAAATTGTACATTACCTTATTCCAAAATCTATCTCAAAAGGAACAGATTTTATTTAGGAAAAAAACAACAACATTCCTTTAATATTTTTGTTGTAGGAAGACGCCGAAAAAAGTGTGAACTTTAGCAAATTCGTAAAATCAGGGTTTTTAACGAACATGGGACCCGTATTATGGTCTTAAACGTTCTTCACACTATACAACAATATTTAATCAGCAGTATAGCTCTGAAGAAGGCTAGAGCACGATGGCCGAAACGTCAGTCCAATTAACTGAGACGTCATCCCGGATAGCTAAGAATACAATATTTAATAAAAATTAACGAAGCCATTTTTTTACAAATTTGGAAAATGTCCCAGGGAATATACGTAAAGTACTCCCAATAATTAAAATATCGATTTCAAATTCTCGCGACATCAGCCCGATCGATTGGAGAATATCAATTTTAAAGAAAATGACTAAAGGTTTAGCTGCTAGCGTTGTTCACAGACGGATGGATAGACAGACAGACAGCTTTTGCTGTCTAGGGCCGTTTTTCTGCCGAAAATTCGCCTTTCCTTCGCGAAGCATTACATAACTTCCTCTTTACTCCGTAGCGAAAAAGTAAAAATTCGAAATTGTGGCCATGAGTAATCGTTTCATGAAAACTCCGGTGTTGTCAAAAAAATGAGTACAAGTACAGAAAATGATAAAAATATACTACAGGCTCTTCACATATCTCAAAAACTGAAATATTTTAACACAAACTTAGAGAAAATGTTTCTAACATATTTCTAAATTCGAGGTAAATTTAGTTCTTAATACACCAAATTTTCCTACAATTATTGCAATTTATTTTAGGACGGGCCGTAAACTCCCTCGCTAACTTTTTCCGTGTACTGGAATGGTATTGGTAAGTGTCTGTTGTGGAGAGAGGAAACAGTCATTCTAGTACATCACACGTTGTAGTTATCATATTCATTATGTGGCAGATGACATTAAATAATTAAAATTGTTACACAAGTTTAAGTGCCAAACAATATATGTTGTGGCTACCCAACAGTAAATTCAATGAACGTCGTCGAAAATGTGGATTTTCATTCAACATAACCATTGTAAAATTTGACAAAAGGTGAAGAAAAAAAGGAAATTCATTCAACAATATATAGCTAAAGAAGAATCCGAGTAAATAGGGTTCGAAACTTAAAAAGAATTATGAAGAATTAACTTTCTGTTAGTAATTTGACCTTGTAAACATTAGATAATATTAAATTTTCTTGGAATGTGAAACGTTAAGTGGATTTAAGTTAGGTTTGAATAAATTTATCAATAACGTACTAGAAATTTCTCTGCTTGACGCATGGTTTTATCTCTAAATTATCGGGGCACGCCGGGCCTCGGATGTTTCATTTGTGTAAACTTGTTCGACCGCCGCTAGGAGCATTAACCGACTCCTTATCAACAGCTGCGTGGCTCGTATGGCAACAGCTGCGCAGCTCGTATGGCAACAGCTGCGCAGCTCGTATGGCATCACGGCGTGCCTGGCTGCGGGCGTTGCATAATAGCAGAGCAGGCGCCGGCGGGGCAATCGATTTACGGCCTCTATCACTTCAATCGATATGGCAATAAATATTGTTAGCATAGTATTTAGATTAATAAATTCAGTGTTGCTAAGTACTTAGGGCCGCATTCATAGTCGACACTTTTACGATAAGTAAAGGTTTAAGTAATAAACATTTACTTACAGTAAATGATCCTTTATGACAGCTACGTATGCAACAACAAGTTTACTTATAAATTGGGAGTAAATTAAAAAACTTCGATCCAGCGTCACGGTTACTAAAGTGTTTATTTGTACTCGCTGAATTCCTGCGAAAATGTCGCACATTTGTGCACGTAAGAAGACACTGACATTAATGTTTATATCCATATTTCATTCTAGACCAATTATTTAAAATATTGAGAGTATTTTGAGCCCATAAGATTAGCTTTTTAATAACTGTTTTTATTACTGTAGCTGGCAGGGGCATGCTGTGATTACATGATACACCCCAGCTGCTAGCGACCAACCAGCTTCCCCCTCCCTGCCGAATATATTGTAGTGGCGCAATAGAGCGCATTTTTTTTGTTGTTGTTGTTGTTGTTGTTGTTGTTGTTGTTGTTGTTGTAATACAGTATAGTGATGTGCTGTAAGAGTTGCGGGAAGCATCTTCACGCTACCTCATATGTATTTAATTTAATATGTTTGTAACACACATTACATATACATACTTTTATTAGCATTTCTTGTAAAGGGAATAGTATTGCACTGAGATGCACTTGCACTAACATGTTTGCTTGCACCACAAGTCCCTATGAACAATTGCTGGGCTTGCCGCCGTCTGAAAGCCCATGACCCGGAGATTTTGAATCGGGGGGTGGGGGTCACAAGAATTAAGTGTTAATGAATGTGATTCTAGACCGAAGAATCAAGATACCAATACGTGAATTTCTATTTAATGGGTTATACACATTCTTGGCGCGAACCGTAAATATCATAGTGATCAAACAAAGAATCCTATTGAGAGAAAAAAAACCTCATGAGACTCAAAATGTTTATTCTGATTAATCGTATCAGAAGGTCAGCGTTCAATCCGGACTTCCAAAAGTGCTTTCGGTGTCAAACGGTAAGTATTAGACTAGTAGTTCCCCTCGAGATGAAGTGGACTTCAGTACCCGAAAAAGGAGCATCGGCTTGAAAGGCAACACCGCACTCTTATGGCGCGACCTCGAAGCTTGCATTTTCTTGACACGAATTATTGTTCTTTTTGGTGTTATTGAATCTGATATACACTCTCCGATATACGTGTAATTCATTAAGTGAATGCTTTATATTAGTTCCTTTGCTATTTCAGAATATTTTTGAAAATTCATGTTACCAATAATAGATTTTTTTTCGCTTTAGGTTCATGGAAGTCATCGGAAATGCTACATCCCATTTGGAGGAAGAGAGCTCGCCTTCGACCGATACGAGGTTCTCATTTCTGTGTAACTGGTTCGCGAGATGCAGGTTGCGAACATTGAAAGGAAGCAGAGTATACTTTTGGAAGGAGAAGCAGCACTTCGTATAAGTCTGTATTTCTAAACCCTGTGGATGTACATTTTTATTTTATTTGAGTAAAAAACTTTACTTTTGTTTGTTATTTTTCCAAGTTTTTATACCTGCACTGAACTGTTTTTTATACCACCCGGAGAAAGAATGCGGCCTGCGGCTGTAGATGCAAGGGCGACTCTTATTTCAAACAAACGCCCCACCCCCCATTACATAATACAGCAGTTATTTACATTTACGCACAAAGGGCGTTATAAGATTTCTAATGAGTCCGTCCGAGAGTGTTTTTTTCCCCAGATCATTAGAATCAGTTAACGCCCGTGGTACACAATTTTATTTTTTACCAATTTTTATTGACTTAGATTTACTTATTAGCTAGATGTTAATTCTACTCTTTGTTTTCGTATCCCTCCCCTCTCCTACAAGAGAACATGTATTTACTCGCGCAAGTTTTCTTGATACACGAGCTCCCTAGTCCTCACCCAGAGCACGGTACGTTGGGATACTTAGGTTCGACTCGGAACGGCACGTACCAGTTTACAGTGCTGACAACAAAGATCTCGTACTTTCAAAATAATCGTAGCATTTCTCGTGGCACACTTTCGTGAGTTAGTTCATGCTTACAGTTGGTATGCCCTTTTAAGCCGTGACGTATCCAGAGCCCTCCGCATCCCCCACTGTGGAATATCAAGAAAACTTGCGCGTATAGTATCATCATTCAACTGTTTTTAAATTTTCCTCCGAACCACCATCCTTTCGATCCACGAGGTTATATCGAGCACCGTATCGAAGCCATAACAGCTAAAACATAACTGTAAAAAATAAACATAATTCATTTCTCTTTGGAATATAATTAATTGATAGTGGTTAGTTCGAATTATAAGAACATACAGTTTGTATAACTTTTAATAAAACAACAACAAAAAAAAAACAACGTTAGGGCGAGTGTCCCCACCGCCTCGGGACGCCACTGGTTTGTAGCTGATGACCCAAGTTATCTAAATATTATCAAACCCTACTGAACGTTGGCGACCTGGGAAATAGGCAGATAATTTAGGACTCGCCGCGCTGTCCATCAACTTCGTTGCTCAAAGGTTTCACTGAAACGAAAATTGAAATAAAAAGTATTTCCTTTTACCCATTAGTGCTTGTGATGTGATACATCGGATGCTCAAGAAAGTGTCATGCATGTGTTTGGACGCTAGCCCTTTGCGGGCTACACGAATCGACGCACGTTGTTGGAGTGTCAGTAATTGAAAGTTGAAACTCTGAGAGATTCTTTGTTTGGAGCTATTCGAATACAATGTAACGCACTACAGTCGTTTAGTTCCATTTAGCGAGGAAATTTGTATCTAATTGTAATGTTAAAGGTTGACGAATATCTAGAAATGTTAAGTGAAGTGAAATGTTGAAGGTTCGTATTTTCTATTGAGATGTGGTTTTCATAAAAATTGTTATAAATTACTTAACTATTTAAAATTATTTTTGGAGATCTAATTTATCGGATCACTGCACGGGGAACACAATTTTGCCATTATTTCCGCTTTGTTTGTTTCTTATTAAAGAATATTGAGTTTTATTCAGAAAAGAAGGTGAAGTTTCATTTTATCTAAGGCATTTATTTACGAGTCCGAATTTTCTTTGAACATCTCTTCCAATCTATTAAACCTATTATTTTCGGGTTAAAAAATGAATATTTTGTTTTTTTACGAGACTGCAAAAAAATTAGGGTTGTCATTTAAATAAATGTTGTCTTTTACTCCGGAAAAGAAGAGCAAAAAGAAGTAAAGGTCGGTTTAGGTGGCGATAGTATTGTTTCCTTATTGAATAATGTAGCTATACCATCCCATATTAAAAACATGCTTCAATGTGAGAACTATTTTCCATTCGAGTTGTTATGACACTTGGTAAATGAAAGAGTTTGTGTCACAGGTACCGGTCGGGGACCAAAAAAAATTGTTTTCAACCAAAAACGGTGAAATGCAAAAAATGAAAGAGTTTTCTATGTTTATCAAACGTTCTTATTGTACAATGGAAGGACAATATTTTAAGCACTCCAGCAAATCATGAATCGATAAAACCTAAAACCAGAGAAGAAACAAACAAAATATTTATTGCAGTCAGTTTCCAAGTGGCCAAGTTTCTAAGCTTCCAAGTGGCATGAGCAATAAGAATCTCTTTTACATATTAATGCCTGCATACATAATGCAAATTGCGCCCAAAAAAATTGTGCTGGCCAATTATTTATTTACTTGATGTGTTTGTTGTCAATGTTTGGTAACTAAGGTGCAAAACTATGCCACCCACAGCCAAAAACATATCATTTAAAATTGCTTAGACATTGTTTCGGCCTGTTGAAAATCATCGCGCTGTGGAAATCTCACTTTTATTTTATAGGTCCGAACATGGCTTTTAAATAAAAAAAGTGTTCTTACTTTCTCGTATATGTACGTATGTACGGAGTAACATACGTGGTGTGGGGAAACTTATGTAATTCTGTGGACAATCGATTTCAAGATTTAAAGAGAAATACACGTTTTGGGATCCTCTCTTACCGAAAACGTTCTTTTTCTCAAAACGTCCGCCCGTCTGTCTGATGTATGTGCACAACACTAACGCCTAAACCATTTGTACGACGTTTTTCAAATTGAAGAAACTCCTGTCGATGTGCCCTGAGTCGCAGCCCTGCGAATTTGCAAATCAGTCGTTAATTTTTGGGGTTACTTTACGTGAAGCCCCGCGGGCATTTCAAAATTTTCTCAAAAAGAGCTTCCAATTTTTTCTTTAAACTTTATGTAAGTCAAATTTAAATTTCTTGTAAGAATAGAGTAAAATACATTTATAAAGGTGGCATAGGTCCAATTTTCGAAAATTACAAAAGTTTGATTATTTTTCGGCCTCTTCCTGCAACTACAAAATTGAAGATAAAGATTTTTCCTTCAAACAGAACTTGTTCTCAATGGTGAGTTCTTTCATTAAGGTCATTAACATTTTTTTTGAAATTTTAGTAGTTTTCGCGCAACATTGCGTGCATTACGTGCAATCGTTTTTAAAAAAATAACAAAAACAAGATTTTCTCAAAAACGGCAACTGTTAACGTCATGCCAATGGGCCAGATGGACCGCACGTGTCGGAAGGCAAGCGAGAGGGCGGGGGCAGTCCTTTGGCGGCAAGGGGAAGGCCACCAGAGAGGGCCCTCGTCAAGAGTCGGGGTGGGCGTCTCGGAATGCGGGTGTCAACTGATGCAGAGGGTGATAATGGATGAGTCCAGACGCGGGGCAGCTGGGCTCCTAAGTGCAAACAGACCCACGTTTCGGAATGAGCGGCCGCCGCCGGCATGGGAAGTCTGTCACGTGATCCCTCGCGCGGCGGCTGGAGAGTAACCAGCTGTGGTCATTCGTCGTCGAACGGAATCGTGGTAGGGAAGGCACTTATCACCCGCCAGGGGTTATCGCGAGCTTCGGCTGTGGGATGTGGCGGTTGCCACGGGACGAGAGACCAGGAGCGGCGCCAAGCCGCTGGGGTCTGCGTCAGACTTAGGCGGACATGCCTCAGGGACGTACAGTGCTGGTTGTGCAGCGCTAGTTTCCGAGGAATGTAGATAGTGTATAAAATTTGTCAATAAATTTGTACAGAACAACTCCGTGTTCGTGTTTTACTCGCAACCAACGACGCCACACACAAAATTCTTTCTTCAAACTTTTCGAACAGCTAATTGCACTCTTTTGGGGAATTTGTTTCCCCAAAATTTATACAAACGTATTTTCTAAGATCTCTAACGCTGTTAATATGCACACTTCCAGCATTTTGTAAACACTATTGTATTTTTGAGTGAAAGTGCTTCAAATGAAGCACTTTGAAAACTCAAATATTTCCTGTGAAAAGGAGCTTCAAATTTCGAATTTACAGTAGCGCTTAAACGCCATTTTCTTAAAAACGGCTCCAATTTTTTTCAAATAAAATTGCATTTAGTTGTGTTGCCAGCACTAGGTGTTAACTTCTTCAACTATTCTTATAAAATCTCTCTATAGTATATATCTGCGTTTGTTTCGCTAGCTAGGAACACCTCTCAACTTACTTCCTGTGCTTCTTGAACGCAGGGAGCGGGATTATAAATTGCAGAATATAGTAAAGTCAATTGAATAGAGGATTTTCAATAGTGAATTATAATTAAAATAGCATTAACTATTTTACATTTTCTTTTCATCCATTACTGTTCTCTGAATAATTTTTTTGTGACTCATAGTTGGCCCAAATATCTTTCATTAATTTCAAGCAGAAATTCTGCGTAAACTACCAACGTTAACATAAAATTTTAAATGACCTTTTTTAAAGAGCTAATTTTCTACAACAGACTCTCTCTCTGAGGCAAAAATCTCTATCTTAAATTCTGTAGTTTTTTTGCGATTTTCGGAAAAGTGAACGATACCCAAAAATCAATTACTATATAGTCTGGCACCATATTTTTTACCATCCTTAATTACATACGTGAAGAAAATTTAAAGAAAAATTGGAGAGGTTGACAAAAAACGTTTCTTCTATTTCGCCCAATTTATTTCAAGATTTGTCTTTAAGGTTAAATTTCATTTAGGGGTAAAAAAAACCCTCGCCGAAAAAAAATTTGAATTTTTGTGTTTTCAAAAAATCAGGGGAATCAACGATTTCTTAAACATCCTTCGCACTATTCAACAACAAAATGTTGGATAAATAAAAAGAATTGAAGCCATGTTTTTAAATGTCAGAGGGACTTTATTTAAAGTACCCCTCAAAATTAAAATATTGGTTTCACATTCCAGGGGCCGCGACATCAGCCATATTGATTACGGAATATCAATTTTGGAGAAAATCGGTTGAACGGTTTATGCGCTAGCATAGTGCACAAAAGGACAGTCGGACAGACACACGTTTCACTGTCAATCGGTTTTTGTTTTTTTTTGGAATAAAGGACACACAAATCACGGATTCTGGCTACACCACGTGTTAGAGGATTTTTTTCTGTATTTAACAATAAGAGTTTTGTGTCGAAAATTCGCCGTTTTCGGGTGCACGATTACAATACTTTCTCTCCTTACGTTTGTGAAAGTAAAAAAT